GTGTCTCCGTGTGTCACTGTGTCTCTGTGTGTCTCTGTGTGTCTCTGTGTGTCACTGTGTCTCTGTGTGTCTCTGTGTCTCTCTGTGCGTCTATCTGTGTCTCTGTGTGTCTCAGTGTGTCACTGTGTTTCACTGTGTCTCTGTGTGTCTCTGTGTGTCTCTGTGTGTTACTGTGTCTCCGAGTGTCTCTGTGAGTCTCTGTGTATCTCTGTGAGTCCCTGTGTGTCTCTGTTTGTCTCTGTGTGTCTCTGTGTGTCTCTGTATGTCTCTGTGTGTCTCTGTGTGTCTCTGTATGTCTCTGTGTGTCTCTGTGTGTCTCTGTGTGTATCTGTGTGTCTCTGTGCGTCTCTCTGTGTCTCTGTGTGTCTCTGTGCGTCTCTGTGTGTCTCTGTGTGTCTCTGTGAGTCTCTGTGGGTCTCTGTGTGTCTCTGTGTGTCTCTGTGTGTCTCTGTGAGTCTCTCTGTGTCTCTGTGTGTCTCTGTGTCTCTCTGTGCATCTCTGTGAGTCTCTGTGTGTCACTGTGTCTCTGTGTGTCTCTGTGCGTCTCTCTGTGTCTCTGTGTGTCACTTTGTCTCTGTGTGTCTCTGTGTGTCTCTGTGTGTCTCTGTGAGTCTCCGCGTGTCTCTGTGAGTCTCTGTGAGTCTCTGTGGGTCTCTGTGTGTCTCTGTGTGTCTCTGTGTCTCTGTGTGTCTCTGTGTCTCTGTGTCTGTCTGTGCATCTCTGTGAGTCTCTGTGTGTCACTGTGTCTCTGTGTGTCTCTGTGTGTCTCTGTGTTTCTCTGTGTGTCACTGTGTCTCTGTGCGTCTCTGTGTGTCTCTGTGCGTCTCTGTGTCTCTCTGTGTGTCACTGTGTGTCTCTGTGTGTCTCTATGTGTCACTGTGTCTCTGTGTGTCTCTGTGTGTCTCCGTGTGTCACTGTGTCTCTGTGTGTCTCTGTGTGTCTCTGTGTGTCACTGTGTCTCTGTGTGTTTCTGTGTGTCTCTGTGTGTCACTGTGTCTCTGTGCGTCTCTGTGTGTCTCTGTGCGTCTATGTGTCTCTCTGTGTGTCACTGTGTGTCCCTGTGTGTCTCTGTGTGTCACTGTGTCTCTGTGTGTCTCTGTGTGTCTCCGTGTGTCACTGTGTCTCTGTGTGTCTCTGTGTGTCTCTGTGTGTCACTGTGTCTCTGTGTGTCTCTGTGTCTCTCTGTGCGTCTATCTGTGTCTCTGTGTGTCTCAGTGTGTCACTGTGTTTCACTGTGTCTCTGTGTGTCTCTGTGTGTCTCTGTGTGTTACTGTGTCTCCGAGTGTCTCTGTGAGTCTCTGTGAGACTCTGTGTGTCTCTGTATGTATCTGTGTGTCTCTGTGTCTCCGTGTGTCTCTGTGTGTCTCTGTGAGTCTCTGTATGTCTCTGTGTGTCTCTGTGTGTCTCTGTATGTCTCTGTGTGTCTCTGTGTGTCTCTGTGTGTATCTGTGTGTCTCTGTGCGTCTCTCTGTGTCTCTGTGTGTCTCTGTGCGTCTCTGTGTGTCTCTGTGTGTCTCTGTGAGTCTCTGTGGGTCTCTGTGTGTCTCTGTGTGTCTCTGTGTGTCACTGTGTCTCTCTGTGTGTCTCTGTGTGTCTCTGTGAGTCTCCGCGTGTCTCTGTGAGTCTCTGTGAGTCTCTGTGGGTCTCTGTGTGTCTCTGTGTGTCTCTGTGTCTCTGTGTGTCTCTGTGTCTGTCTGTGCATCTCTGTGAGTCTCTGTGTGTCACTGTGTGTCTCTGTGTGTCTCTGTGTGTCACTGTGTCTCTGTGCGTCTCTGTGTGTCTCTGTGCGTCTCTGTGTCTCTCTGTGTGTCACTGTGTGTCTCTGTGTGTCTCTGTGTGTCACTGTGTCTCTGTGTGTCTCTGTGTGTCTCCGTGTGTCACTGTGTCTCTGTGTGTCTCTGTGTGTCTCTGTGTGTCACTGTGTCTCTGTGTGTTTCTGTGTGTCTCTGTGTGTCACTGTGTCTCTGTGCGTCTCTGTGTGTCTCTGTGTGTCACTGTGTCTCTGTGTGTCTCTGTGTGTCTCTGTGTGTCACTGTGTCTCTGTGTGTCTCTGTGTGTCTCTGTGTGTCACTGTGTCTCTGTGTGTCTCTGTGTCTCTCTGTGCGTCTATCTGTGTCTCTGTGTGTCTCAGTGTGTCACTGTGTTTCACTGTGTCTCTGTGTGTCTCTGTGTGTCTCTGTGTGTTGCTGTGTCTCCGAGTGTCTCTGTGAGTCTCTGTGTATCTCTGTGAGTCTCTGTGTGTCTCTGTTTGTCTCTGTGTGTCTCTGTGTGTCTCTGTATGTCTCTGTGTGTCTCTGTGTGTCTCTGTATGTCTCTGTGTGTCTCTGTGTGTCTCTGTGTGTATCTGTGTGTCTCTGTGCGTCTCTCTGTGTCTCTGTGTGTCTCTGTGCGTCTCTGTGTGTCTCTGTGTGTCTCTGTGAGTCTCTGTGGGTCTCTGTGTGTCTCTGTGTGTCTCTGTGTGTCTCTGTGTGTCACTGTGTCTCTCTGTGTGTCTCTGTGTGTCTCTGTGAGTCTCTGCGTGTCTCTGTGAGTCTCTGTGAGTCTCTGTGGGTCTCTATGTGTCTCTGTGTGTCTCTGTGTCTCTGTGTGTCTCTGTGTCTCTGTGTCTGTCTGTGCATCTCTGTGAGTCTCTGTGTGTCACTGTGTCTCTGTGTGTCTCTGTGTGTCTCTGTGTGTCACTGTGTCTCTGTGCGTCTCTGTGTATCTCTGTGCGTCTCTGTGTCTCTCTGTGTGTCACTGTGTGTCTCTGTGTGTCTCTGTGTGTCACTGTGTCTCTGTGTGTCTCTGTGAGTCTCCGTGTGTCACTGTGTCTCTGTGTGTCTCTGTGTGTCTCTGTGTGTCACTGTGTGTCTCTGTGTGTCTCTGTGTGTCACTGTGTCTCTGTGTGTCTCTGTGTGTCTCTGTGTGTCACTGTGTCTCTGTGCGTCTCTGTGTATCTCTGTGCGTCTCTGTGTCTCTCTGTGTGTCACTGTGTGTCTCTGTGTGTCTCTGTGTGTCACTGTGTCTCTGTGTGTCTCTGTGTGTCTCCGTGTGTCACTGTGTCTCTGTGTGTCTCTGTGTGTCTCTGTGTGTCACTGTGTGTCTCTGTGTGTCTCTGTGTGTCACTGTGTCTCTGTGTGTCTCTGTGTGTCTCTGTGTGTCACTGTGTTTCTGTGCGTCTCTGTGTGTCTCTGTGCGTCTATGTGTCTCTCTGTGTGTCACTGTGTGTCTCTGTGTGTTTCTGTGTGTCACTGTGTCTCTGTGTGTCTCTGTGTGTCTCCGTGTGTCACTGTGTCTCTGTGTGTCTCTGTGTGTCTCTGTGTGTCACTGTGTCTCTGTGTGTCCCTGTGCGTCTATGTGTCTCTCTGTGTGTCACTGTGTGTCTCTGTGTGTCTCTGTGTGTCACTGTGTCTCTGTGTGTCTCTGTGTGTCTCCGTGTGTCACTGTGTCTCTGTGTGTCTCTGTGTGTCTCTGTGTGTCACTGTGTCTCTCTGTGTCTCTGTGTCTCTGTGTCTCTCTGTGCGTCTCTCTGTGTCTCTGTGTGTCTCTGTGTGTCACTGTGTTTCACTGTGTCTCTGTGTGTCTCTGTGTGTTACTGTGTCTCCGTGTGTCTCTGTGAGTCTCTGTGTATCTCTGTGAGTCTCTGTGTGTCTCTGTTTGTCTCTGTGTGTCTCTGTGTCTCTGTGTGTCTCTGTGCGTCTCTGTGCGTCTCTGTGCGTCTCTGTGTGTCTCTGTGTGTCTCTGTGCGTCTCTGCGAGTGTCTGTGTGTCTCTGTGTGTCTCTGTGAGTCTCTGTGTGTCTGTGTGTCTCCGTGTGTCTCTGTGAGTCTCTGTGTGTCTCTGTGTGTCTCTGTGAGTCTCTGTGGGTCTCTGTGTGTCTCTGTGCGTCTCTGTGCGTCTCTGTGTGTCTCTGTGTCTCTCCGTGTGTATCTGTGTGTCTCTGTGTGTCTCTGTGTGTCTCTGTGTCTCTCTGTGTCTCTCCGTGTGTATCTGTGTGTCTCTGTGTGTCTCTGTGTGTCACTGTGTCTCTCCGTGTGTATCTGTGTGTCTCTGTGTGTCTCTGTGTGTCTCTTTGTCTCCGTGTGTCTCCGTGTGTCTCTGAGTGTCTCTGCGTGTCCCTGCGTGTGTCTCCGTGTGTATCTGTGTGTCTCTGTGTGTCTCTGCGTGTCTCTGCGTGTCTCTGCGTGTGTCCCTGCGTGTCTCTCGGTGCGTCACGGTGCCCAGCCACCGTGCTGCTCAGAGAAACGTCGACTCGTGCTCGCTACCGCTACCGTCACCGTCACCGCTACCGTCACCGCTACCGCTACCGTCACCGCTACCGTCACCGTCACCGCTACCGCTGCCGCCGCCGTCGCCGCCGCCGCCGTCGCCGCCGGCGCGGTCGGCGCTGCCGCTGCCGATGTCCTTGCCGGCGTTGGTGCCGGCGTGGCTGATGCCGGCGTCGCGTGCCATGCGGTAGAAGACGCCGCGACTCTCCATGAGGTTGCTGGGGGAATCAAACTCCACGATCCGCCCAGCGTCCAGCACCACGATGCTGGGGACACAGCGGCGGTGGTGGTGGTGGTGGTGAGCGAGGGTGGTGGTGGTGGTGGTGAGCGAGGGTGGTGAGCGATGGTGGTGGTGGTGAACGATGGTGGTGGTGGTGAGCGATGGTGGTGGTGAGCGATGGCGGTTTTGGTGAGCGATGGTGGTGGTGAGCAATGGTGGTGGTGGTGGTGAGCGATGGTGGTAGTGGTGGTGAGCGATGGTGGTGTTGGTGGTTAGCAATGGTGGTGGTGGTGGTGAGCGATGGTGGTGAGCGATGGTGGTGGTGAGCGATGGTGGTGGTGGTGGTGAGCGATGGTGGTGGTGGTGGTGATGGTGGTGAGCGATGGTGGTGGTGGTGAGCGATGGTGGTGAGCGATGGTGGTGGTGAACGATGGTGAGCGAGTCTCACCGCGTGTAGTCCATGACGGTGTGTAAGCGGTGAGCGATGGTGAGCGATGGTGGTGAGCGATGGTGGTGAGCGATGGTGCGCGAGTCTCACCGCGTGTAGTCCATGACGGTGTGTAAGCGGTGAGCGATGGTGAGAACGGTCTGCGAGTGGAAGGCGCTTCGCAGCGTGCCCTGGATGAGGCCGTCCGTCTCCAGGTCCACGGCGGCCGTGGCCTCGTCCAGGATGAGAATTCGGCTCCCGCGGAGTAGAGCCCGCGCCAGGCACAGCAGCTGCCTCTGCCCCACGCTGACACACGCACACACGTGGGCTGACACGTGGGCTGACACACGCAGACACGTGGGCTGACACGTGGGTTGACACACGCAGACACGTGGGCTGACACGTGGGCTGACACGTGGGCTGACACACGCAGACACGTGGGCTGACACGTGGGTTGACACACGCAGACACGTGGGCTGACACGCTGACACACACAGACACGTGGGCTGACACGCGGGCTGACACGCGGGCTGACACGTGAGCTGACACACGCAGACACGTGGGCTGACACGTGGGTTGACACACGCAGACACGTGGGCTGACACGCTGACACACACAGACACGTGGGCTGACACGTGGGTTGACACACTCAGACACGCGAGCTGACACGTGGGCTGACACACGCTGACACACACAGACACGCGGGCTAGCATGTGGGATGACACACGCAGACACGCGCACACACGCGGGCTGACACGTGGGCTGACACACGTGGGCTGACACACGCAGACACGTGGGCTGATACACGCTGACACACACAGACACGCGGGCTGACACGCTGACACACGCAGACACGTGGGCTTACACACGCAGACACGCGAGCTGACACGTGGGCTGACACAAGCAGACACGTGCGCTGACATGCTGACATGCGCTGACACGCTGACACGTGCAGACACGCGGGCTGACACACGCAGACACGTGGGCCGACACGGGCGTGCTGAGACACGCGCTGACAGACACCACGCTGACAGACACCACACTGACAGACAACACGCTGACAGACACCGCGCTGACAGACACCACACTGACAGACACCACGCTGACAGACACGCGCTGACAGACACGCGCTGACAGACACCACACTGACAGACACCACGCTGACAGACACCACACTGACAGACACCGCGCTGACAGACACCACACTGACAGACACGCGCTGACAGACACCACACTGACAGACACCACACTGACAGACACCACACTGACAGACACCACACTGACAGACACCACACTGACAGACACCGCGCTGACAGACACCGCGCTGACAGACACCGCGCTGACAGACACCACACTGACAGACACCACACTGACAGACACCACACTGACAGACACCACACTGACAGACACCGCACTGACAGACACCACACTGACAGACACCACACTGACAGACACCACGCTGACAGACACAACGCTGACAGACACCACGCTGACAGACACACGCTGACAGACACCACACTGACAGACACCACACTGACAGACACCACACTGACAGACACCACACTGACAGACACCACGCTGACAGACACCACGCTGACAGACACCGCACTGACAGACACCACACTGACAGACACCACACTGACAGACACCACACTGACAGACACCACGCTGACAGACACCACGCTGACAGACACACGCTGACAGACACCGCACTGACAGACACCACACTGACAGACACCACACTGACAGACACGCGCTGACAGACACCACACTGACAGACACCACACTGACAGACACCACACTGACAGACACCACACTGACAGACACCACACTGACAGACACCGCGCTGACAGACACCGCGCTGACAGACACCACACTGACAGACACCACACTGACAGACACCACACTGACAGACACCACACTGACAGACACCGCGCTGACAGACACCACACTGACAGACACCACACTGACAGACACCACACTGACAGACACCACGCTGACAGACACCACGCTGACAGACACCACACTGACAGACACCGCGCTGACAGACACCACGCTGACAGACACACGCTGACAGACACCACACTGACAGACACCACACTGACAGACACCACGCTGACAGACACCACACTGACAGACACCACGCTGACAGACACCACGCTGACAGACACCACACTGACAGACACCACACTGACAGACACCACACTGACAGACACCACACTGACAGACACCACGCTGACAGACACCACACTGACAGACACCACACTGACAGACACCACACTGACAGACACCACGCTGACAGACACCACGCTGACAGGACACCACACTGACAGACACCACACTGACAGACACCACGCTGACAAGACACCACGCTGACAGACACCGCGCTGACAGACACCACACTGACAGACACCACGCTGACAGACACCACACTGACAGACACCACACTGACAGACACCACACTGACAGACACCACGCTGACAGACACCACGCTGACAGACACCACACTGACAGACACCACACTGACAGACACCACACTGACAGACACCACACTGACAGACACCACACTGACAGACACCACGCTGACAGACACACGCTGACAGACACCACACTGACAGACACCACACTGACAGACACCACGCTGACAGACCACCACACTGACAGACACCACACTGACAGACACCACACTGACAGACACCACACTGACAGACACCACGCTGACAGACACCACGCTGACAGACACACGCTGACAGACACCGCACTGACAGACACCACACTGACAGACACCACACTGACAGACACGCGCTGACAGACACCACACTGACAGACACCACACTGACAGACACCACACTGACAGACACCACACTGACAGACACCACGCTGACAGACACCACGCTGACAGACACACGCTGACAGACACCACACTGACAGACACCACACTGACAGACACCACACTGACAGACACCACGCTGACAGACACCACACTGACAGACACCACACTGACAGACACCACACTGACAGACACCACGCTGACAGACACCACGCTCACAGACACACGCTGACAGACACCACACTGACAGACACCACACTGACAGACACCACGCTGACAGACACCACGCTGACAGACACACACTGACAGACACCACACTGACAGACACCACGCTGACAGACACCACGCTGACAGACACACGCTGACAGACACCGCACTGACAGACACCACACTGACAGACACCACACTGACAGACACCACACTGACAGACACCACGCTGACAGACACCACGCTGACAGACACACGCTGACAGACACCGCACTGACAGACACCACACTGACAGACACCACACTGACAGACACCACACTGACAGACACCACGCTGACAGACACACGCTGACAGACACCGCATTGACAGACACCACACTGACAGACACCACACTGACAGACACCACACTGACAGACACCACACTGACAGACACCACACTGACAGACACCACACTGACAGACACCACACTGACAGACACCACACTGACAGACACCACACTGACAGACACAGCGTCCGTCCACGTGGCCCCGTCGTCCTCCCGCACCGGGCCTGGCGAGGCGAGTTGGGGGGGGGGGGCACCTGAGGTTGTCGCCCCCCTCGCTCAGCTCGTGCCGCAGGCCCTGTGCCAGGCCGCGGGCGAACACCCCCAGGTTGGACTGCTCCAGCGCCGCCCACAGCGCCTCGTCCCCGTGCTGCCCCAGGGGGTCCAGGTTCATGCGCAGGGAGCCCGAGAAGATCACGGGGTCCTGGGGGAGAGGGGGGGGCAGGTAGGGGTGATACAGGGGACGCGGTTCCACACAGGGACAGCTGCCACTGGGGGTGCCCCTAGGCCAGACCCAAACAGCAGCAGCAGCAGCAACAACAGCAGCAGCAACATCACCACCCCCTGCTGTGGTTCCCAGTAGCGTGTGAGTGCGTGTGTGAGCGTGGGTGTGAGCGTGTGTGTGAGCGTGTCCGGCAAAAAACAACCCCCCACCTCCTCGTGGTGCCGGACGGCAAAGCTGTGGTGGGCAGTGCCGTGGTGGGAGGGCCAGATTAATCAGATTGGCCTTTCCCTTCATGGCGTCTGTGACCACCACAGCGGCCAAGTGGGGGCTCTGGACGGGTGCGAGGGAATGGTAACCCCTCCACCTTCAATAAACTACCACTAAACTACGAGGTAAAACATTTATTAAGCTTGTGCCGGAGGCCCCGGGGGGACAGGCGTCTATAACGTCTGCTGGCCAAACCCCATTTGGTGGAGCCAGGAGACTCATTCCTTACCCTCGGGGCTCCTCCAGAAACAACAAAAAGCGGAAGGAGAGGCTGCCACTCCTCTGTCGGGAGCTGGACCGGTGCCGCCTGGATCTCTGTGGTATTCAGGAGGTCCGGCTGACCGGCTCTGCCTCCTGCCACCATGAGGGGTGGACAGTCCTCTACTCGGGGCAGGAGACTGCCAAACAACAGGGTGTGGCTCTTCTTCTGAACAAAGGAATGAAGGGGATGTGGGAGCGTGGCGGTGAGGTGTGGGAAGCTGTAAGCCCCAGGCTACTTTGGGCTTGCCTCCCCATAAACCAGAGGCGAGGAGTGGTGGTCGTGGTTACTTATGCCCCCACCAAAGACAAACATCTGTGGAGGGATGCAGGCAAAGCCGATGAGTCAGATGTCTTCTATGACCTCCTGTCACAGGTGATGGCTAAAGTGGCCCCTCGGGATAGAGTCATCTTGTTGGATGACTTCAATGCCCGAGTTGGTCATGATGCTGGCACCTGGTCTTGAGTTACTGGAAGACATGGACCAGATCAGCTCAATAACAACGGTAGGAGGCTGCTAGATTTTTGTGCAGCCCATGGGCTTGTAATTACCAACATGCTGTTCCGGCATCGGCGCATCCACACAACATCATGGATGCATGCCGTGTCCAAACAAGAACATCTGCTGGACTACATAGTGATGGAACAGCGGATGCGGGCTCATGTCCTTGACACCAGGACCTACCGTGGAGCTAATCTTCCCACTGACCATCGACTTGTCATCTGTAAGATGCGCCTGCCATTCTTCCACTCCAGTGGTGGGTGTACACCCAGGACCCCATTCCAACCTAAAGTGGCCTGGTCTTAGTTATCTGATGAAAGTTGCAAGCGAGAATTTAATCATTGCTTGCGGCTGAGGTTGGCATCATCCCCCACTCCTGATGTCGAGGGGAAATGGGCGAGGTTTAGGACTGTGGCTCATGCAGCTTCAATGGCTGCTTTTGGTGCACGGTCCAGACTTCCTCAGAGACCATGGCTGACAGAGGAAGTGTACAGGCTGGCTGAGAAAAATCAACAGGCCCACTCTAATCGTCTACAGAATCCCATGTCAGAAAATGAGGAGGCTTACCGGAGCCTTTGCTCGAAGGTTCGGAGAGCCATGAGGCGCTGCAAGGATGGATGGTGGTCGCGGGTTGCTGAGGAGATGGAGTCTGCCTCAATGGCCCACGATCACAAATCTCTATTTAACTCCATCAAAAAAGTAACCTGCAGCGCCACACCTATTACCATCATTAGGGGAAAAAACGGTGATCCAATCTCTGACCCCAAGGAACAGGTTTGCAGATTTGCTGAGCATTTCTGTGAGGTCCTGAGGGAGGGGAAATCCCTCAGCCAGCAAAACATTGTGGCACAAAATGGGGATGACCCTGTTGAGGCTGCGGTGCCTCAATTATTGGAAGAAGAAGTCACCCCCTGTGAGTGGCTGGCTGAGGAACCATCTGTTAAGGAAGAACTGAAGGCGATCCAGAGTCTGAGACCAGGAAAGGCACCAGGCAGAGATGATCTCCCAAGCGAAATTCTGAGGGAGGGTGGCGTTTGTGCACAGACTGCCCTACATGACATCATAACAAAAGTCTGGACCACTGGACGGGTTCCGCAGTATTGGAAGGATGCCCTGGTGGTCCCCCTCTTTAAGAAGGGGAACCGCACAGACTGTAAGAACTATAGGAGCATCTCACTCAGTGTGTCGGGAAAGGTCCTGGCAAAAATTATTGAACATCACCTTTACAGGCACGCTGAGGAGAGGCTTGCGGAGCCCCAATGTGGTTTCAGGAAAGGGCAGTCCTGCACAGATGCCATATTTTCTGTCCATCTGCTACAGCAGAGGTGTAGGGAATTCCAACAAGACCTACATCTCTGCTTTATTGACCTGGTCAAGGTCTATGATACCATCAGTAGGGCTGGCCTCTGGGTTGTTCTTCGTGCTTTCGGAGTCCCTGACCTGCTGCTCACATTAAGGACCTTCATGATGGTGAGCGGGCTTGGGTAAAACTACGTGGCCGGGAATTGGAGCCATTCCCTGTTCACTTTGCGGTGCGACAGGGATGTCCTCTGGCTCCCACATTATTTAACATCTATTTTGAGCACATAGTTCGTGAAGTCTTCAATAGCTGTACCGGAGGAATTTCCATCTGGTACAGATACAATGGGAGGTTCATCGATGCCCAGGTGTGGTCAAGAGATGGCTCCCTATGCCGATGATCTGGTAATTGCTGCTCACTCAGAGGGGAGTTGGAGGCGCTGATGCTGAACCTAGAGCTTGCCACTAAGAGGTGAGGACTTACCATCAGCTCCACCAAAACTAAGCGCCTGTCTGGGTATTTTGAACCATCAGACACCCCACCCCCACAACTCCCCATTGGTGATAGGGCAGTTGTGGAGAGTTTTCCATTCCTGGGCAGTGTGCTCATGACTGGCTCCGGTCTCACTCTGAATCAGTCGAGTGGCATTATCTTTTCATCGGTTGCGTAACGCTGTGTGAAAGCTACCTGGTCTGTCGCTCCGCACTAAGCTTCAGGTCTTCTTGGCCACGGTCATTCCCTCCCTTCTCTACGCTTGCGAAACGTGGACCCCCTTAATGGAGCATCTTCGCCGGTTGGCAACATTTAGGCTGGCCTGCCTACGATCCATCCTGGGTTTAACCAGGCTGGATTGTGTGAGGAGCTCACATATCCTTGAAAGATCCGGACAAAGTCTAATCGGTGAGCTCCTCCGGCAGGCAAGGCTGCGTTGGCTGGGTCATATAGCCGGCATGCCCAGCCACCGCATGCCTAAACAGCTTTTTTTTCACCAGATAGAAGGGGCTAAATGGGTGCGGCACGGGCTAGAGAGGAGATGGATTGATGTGGTACAGGAGGACGTGGAGCTGAGTGGACTTGCCGATGACTGGTACCAGCGGTGTCAAGATCGGCCTCAGTGGAGGAGGCTCGTGAAGGACTCTACTGGGCAGTTGGAGGCAGTCGCCCTCCAACAAAAACGGAGGGCGGAGGAGTGGCGCTCACAACAACAAGCGGAGCGCCGGGTGGTTAAAGCACAGCAAGTTGGCACAGTAGGGGGCACAGGTGGTGCATCAGCCACTCATCTCAGTCAGTCGACCCGTGGCACTTGGGTCTGCCCCGTAAGCTCCTGCCAGCGGGCGTTCAACACTTCACATAGCCTGGCACAAGCGTTGTGGTGACGTCACCGCCACTTAGTGGTGAATGGGGGTTGTTGTTGTTGTTGTTGTGAGTGTGCAGGTTTCAGTTTTGTTTATTTGGTATAGCCCTGTGAGCCATTCGGCTCTTGAATCGGGTGCAACCTCAACAAACAAAAACATGAACAAGAAAAACATCTTAAAGTGACTTTGTGTGACTGTGCAAACAGAAAATTCATGGGGAAAAAACATCAAAATATTCCTGAAAAGATCACCGTACACCAACGCTGTGTGCAACAATCCAAGTGGGATGCAAGTCAAACAACAACAACAACAACAACCACAACAACAACAACAACAGTAATATGAATTACTGCAGTCACGAAAGCTTTAAATCAAAAATTTAAGACAACTTTAGATTAAGGCCATCAGTCTAACTCCGTACTACAACAAACAAACATGGGCCAAACCAAAAAAGGTTTATCGAAATCACCGAAATAAAGCCATGAAAGCAACGCGACAGTGATCATAGGAACTGTGAGAGAGTTTTCACAATAAACGACATCAACAACACGCACCACCAAACCCTGCAGCCACAGCTGTCTGCACGAGTCACTCCCGCAACAAACAGGAGCATCGGTCGGAGTATCGACATTTGTCAACGCACCTTTAAGGTCAGCTCGCAGGTGAGCGTGCAGGTGAGCAGGCAGGTGAGCACGCAGGTGAGCACTCAGGTGAGCACACAGGTGAGTACACAGGTGAGTACACAGGTGAGCACACAGGTGAGTACACAGGTGAGTACACAGGTGAGCACACAGGTGAGTACACAGGTGAGCGTGCAGGTGAGCACACAGGTGAGCGTGCAGGTGAGCACACAGGTGAGCACACAGGTGAGGTGAGCACACAGGTGAACACACAGGTGAGCAGGCAGGTGAGCACACAGGTGAGCACACAGGTGAGCAGGCAGGTGAGCACACAGGTGAGCAGGCAGGTGAGCGTGCAGGTGTGCACACAGGTGAGCAAGCAGGTGAGCACACAGGTGAGCAGGCAGGTGAGCAGGCAGGTGAGCGTGCAGGTGTGCACACAGGTGAGCAAGCAGGTGAGCACACAGGTGAGCACACAGGTGAGCGTGCAGGTGAGCGTGCAGGTGAGCACACAGGTGAGCAGGCAGGTGAGCAGGCAGGTGAGCACACAGGTGAGCACACAGGTGAGCGTGCAGGTGAGCGTGCAGGTGAGCAGGTAGGTGAGCACACAGGTGAGCACGCAGGTGACAGGTGAGCACACAGGTGAGCACACAGGTGACAGGTGAGTACACAGGTGAGCAGGCAGGTGAGCACACAGGTGAGCACACAGGTGAGTACACAGGTGAGTACACAGGTGAGCGTGCAGGTGAGCACACAGGTGAGCACACAGGTGAGGTGAGCACACAGGTGAACACACAGGTGAGCAGGCAGGTGAGCACACAGGTGAGCACACAGGTGAGCACACAGGTGACAGGTGAGCCGCTCCCACAGGTGAGCACACAGGTGAGCACACAGGTGAGCACACAGGTGAGCACACAGGTGACAGGTGAGCCGCTCCCACAGGTGAGCACACAGGTGAGCACACAGGTGAGCCGCTCCCACAGGTGAGCCGCTCCCACAGGTGAGCCGTGCACTCAGCCTCACCTGCGGGATGATGGTAAGCTTCGAGCGCAGATCGTGCAGCCCCAGGTGGGCGATGTCCACGCCGTCGATGCGGATGGCTCCGTGCGCCGGCTCCACCAGACGGAAGAGGCAGCTGGCCAGCGAGGACTTGCCCGCGCCCGTGCGCCCCACGATGCCAATCTGCGGGGGGTGGGGGGGGGTAAACCGCTGGTTCGTGGACTGGCAGACGCACGAGAGAGAGAGAGAGAGCCCATGCCAGTCTACAGATCTCTGCATGACAGTCGAGCAGAATCACCGAGAGCCTAGCGTAGTGACCGAGTGGCTAGCGGGGTGACTGAGTGGCTAGCATAGTGACTGAGTGGCTAGCGGGGTGACTGAGTGGCTAGCGGGGTGACTGAGTGCCTAGCGGGGACACCGAGTAGCTAGTGGGGTGACTGAGTGCCTAGCGGGGACACCGAGTGGCTAACGGGGTGACAGAGTGCCTAGCGGGGACACCGAGTGGCTAGCGGGGTGACCGAGTGGCTAGCGGAGTGACCGAGTGCCTAGCGGGGACACCGAGTGGCTAGAGGGGCGTGCGACCAGTCACCTTCTCCCCGGGCTGCACGCTGCAGCTGATGCCCTTGAGGACGAGTTGGAGTCCCGGGCGGTAGCGAACGGCGAAGTCCTCAAACACCACGGCACCACGGGCCGGCCAACTCTGGGGTGGACGCGCCTCCTCCACCACCCACGCGGCCTGACACACCACCACAACAACAACAACAAAAACCACAACAACCACAACAACAGCAGCCAATCGCCACTAAGTGGCGGTGACATCACCACAGCGATTGTGCATGCCTGTCAACCCCTTGTCAGTAGTACACTCACCACTAGTACACTCACCACTAGTACACTCACCACTAGTACACTCACCACTAGTACACTCACCACTAGTACACTCACCACTAATACACTCACCCTAGTACACTCTCCACTAGTACACTCACCACTAGTACACTCACCACTAGTACACTCACCACTAGTGCACTCACCACTAATACACTCACCACTAGTACACTAACCACTAGTACACTCACCACTAATACACTCACCCTAGTACACTCACCACTAGTACACTCACCACTAGTACACTCACCACTAATACACTCACCACTAATACACTCACCACTAGTACACTCACCACTAGTACACTCACCACTAATACACTCACCACTAGTACACTCACCACTAGTACACTCACCACTACACTCACCACTAGTACACTCACCACTAGTACACTCACCACTAATACACTCACCACTAGTACACTCACCACTAGTACACTCACCACTAATACACTCACCACTAATACACTCACCACTAGTACACTCACCACTAGTACACTCACCACTAATACACTCACCACTAGTACACTCACCACTAGTACACTCACCACTAGTACACTCACCACTAATACACTCACCACAAATACACTCACCACTAGTACACTCACCACTAGTACACTCACCACTACACTCACCACTAGTACACTCACCACTACACTCACCACTAGTACACTCACCACTAGTACCCTCACCACTAGTACACTCACCACTACACTCACCACTACACTCACCACTAGTACACTCACCATTAGTACACTCACCACTACACTCACCACTACAATCAACACTAGTACACTCACCACTAGTACACTCACCACTACACTCACCACTAGTACACTCACCACTACACTCACCACTACACTCACCACAAGTACACTCACCACTACACTCACCACTAGTACACTCACCACTACAATCACCACTGTACCCTCACCATTACACTTAACACTACACTCACCACTAGTACACTCACTATTCATACACGCATCACTACACTCACCACTAGTACATTCACCACTAGTACACTCACCACTACACTCACCACTAGTACACTCACCACTAGTACACTCACCACTACACTCACCACTACACTCACCATTCATACACGCATCACTACATTCACCACTAGTACACTCACCACTACCCTCACCACTAGTACACTCACCACTAGTACACTCACCACTACACTCACCACTAGTACACTCACCACGACTACACTCACCACTACACTCACCACTACTACACTCACCACTAGTACACTCACCACTACACTCACCACTAGTACACTCACCACTAGTACACTCACCACTACACTCACCACTAGTACACTCACCACTAGTACACTCACCACTACACTCACCACTAGTACACTCACCACTAGTACACACACCACTACACTCACCTCTAGTACACTCACCACTACACTCACCACTAGTACACTCACCACTACAAACCTATCAACCCCTTATCAGTGCCCTACCTTATTACAGACCAACTCAGACCTTACTGGTCACCCCGTGCCCCTAATAAATCTCAACGTTCACCCTACAAATTATCATCACAAGGGACAAAGACACATACATAATCTAAATAATGTTTCCCGTATTGAAACGGCTGAGCGCTGTCTGGACGTAAAAACTCAATTTCCCTGTACAAAAATATTGGGTAAACCGTATGTGTTTACAGCTATGCTTGTGCCAGGCTATGTGCACGTAAAGGCCACGTGCGGTGCAGGAGGTCACGGGATAGGTGCCCTGGGTCGACTGACCGAGATGACCGAACCACCTGTGCCCGCCTACTGTGCCAACTTGGCCACACGACAAAGACAAAGATCCCCCGTATAGCCTGTGAAAGACTGTAGGGGCAAGTGCTGTTAGCGAGCGCCTATGAAGGATGGCACGGCACAAGAGGGGGTGGGTGTCCAGCACCACGCCCGGCCGCCTTTGTCTCCCCCAGTTACAATCTTCACGACACATCACGCCAGGTACTCACCTATGAAGGCCGAACACGCAGACACACACACGTGGTGATCATGTCGACAATGATGTTGAGGATGGTGATAGTGATGATGACGGTGATGATGGTGAGGATGGTGATAGTGATGATGACGGTGATGATGGTGAGGATGGTGATAGTGATGATGACGGTGATGATGTTGACAATGGTGATATTGATGATGACGGTGATGATGTTGAGGATGGTGATGATGTTGACAATGGTGATAGTGATGATGACGGTGATGATGTTGAGGATGGTGATGATGTTGACAATAGTGATAGTGATGATGACGGTGATGATGTTGAGGATGGTGATAGTGACGATGATGATGACGGTGATGATGTTGAGGATGGTGATGATGTTGACAATAGTGATAGTGATGATGACGGTGATGATGTTTAGGATGGTCATAGTGATGATGACGGTGATGATGTTGAGGACGGTGATGATGTTGACAATGGTGATAGTGATGATGACGGTGATGATGTTTAGGATGGTGATAGTGACGATGATGATGATGTTGAGGATGGTGATGATGTTGACAATGGTGATAGTGATGATGACGGTGATGATGTTGAGGATGGTGATGATGTTGACAATGGTGATAGTGATGATGACGGTAATGATGTTGAGGATGGTGATGATGTTGACAATGGTGATAGTGATGATGACGGTGATGATGTTGAGGACGGTGATGATGTTGACAATGGTGATAGTGATGATGACGGTGATGATGTTGAGGATGGTGATAGTGATGATTATAATGGTGACAATGGTGATGATGATGTTTGTGATAGTGATGATGGTGATGATGGTGACAATGATGATGTTGGTGATAATGGTGATGATGGAGATGATGATGATGATGATAGTGATGATGATAGTGATGATGGTGACAATGATGATGATAATGGTGATGATAATGATGATGATGTTGGTGATTTGTGACGATGGTGATGATGGTGATGATGGTGACAATGATAATGATGTTGGTGATAGTGACGATGGTGATGATGATGACAACGGTGATGATGGCAGTGACAATGGTGATGGTGATTATGGTGTTGACAGTGGTGATGATGTTGGTGACGATGGTGATAATGACGTTGGTGATGCACGTGATGACGACGATGATGATGATGATGATGGTGACAATGCTGATCATGATGTTGGTGAGAAGCAATGACGATGGTGACAATGACGATGGCGCCTCTCGACGACGGCGATCATGATGAC